CCCTTCCCCTCAAGGTGCAAGGTTAACGACTTGTGTGGTGACTCATCTCTCTTTGTTTGTCCCCAGCATGTGATACGCAGTTTGTTCTCAGTAAATACCTGCCGGATGAATGAATGAATGAATGAATGTGTGAATGAATGAATGAATGAATGCAATGCTTGAGCCTGGAGATGGGCACCAGGAGGGGTGCTGTGCAGTCACTATGGGCTACACTAACAGGGCAAGCCTGGCTGACACAGACCTGAGTGGCCCTGGGCAGGCTGCGGCCGCTTTGGGCCCAGTTTCGTCCTCCTCGATTGGAGAGCGTGACTCGGCTCTATCCCCGTCTCCCCTCCTCCCCACCCCACCTCCCGAGATCGCACAGAGGTGAGCTCTAGAGGAAGTTCATAAATTGTCCAGCTGCTGAGGACCTTTAAACACAGGCCTCTCGGCCAGTGTCCCAGGGGGTTTGGGCATAAGTCCAGCCTGGAGAGGAGCTATGGGGAGGGACCTCCAGCTCTCAGGGAAATGGGGACCAGCCAGCACCACGAGAAGCAGCATGTGTCAAGGTGGTAGCAGGTAGGAGGAGCTGGTGGCAGGGCCCAGAGAAGGGACCGGAAAGACGCCCTCTGGGGTCAGGTGGCAAGTTCAGGGAGCCCCTGTGCCGGTGCCCAAAGGCAACAGTCAACGGTGGGCCTGGAAGGGCCTTTGGTAGTCAGCGTGCTCTGTGGGTGAACTTATCATCCCCACCTCATTCTGAGCCCCACCAGAGCCATCTCTGCTTCCTGGACATAACCCTCAAAGCCTCAGACACAGCCCCCATGTCCTGCTCCCCTGCTATGCTCCAACAAGCCTCTCCTGGGTTCTTCCAGCACTGCTCATTGCACAGCCTTCACCAGGCACCTGGGAACAGGAGGAGGTCAGCCTCGTGGGACCCAAAGGGATTGCGGGGAGGGGAGTCATGGGAACCTGGGGGAGAGTGACCAGAAGGGAGATGGGTATTGATGGGCATAAAACACCGGCCCACCTGCTTCCCCACCCAGGCCCCTCACCTGGTGAGCTGGCTTCCCATCCTGACCCAGTGGAACCCTGGGTCCGCACCTCGAATTTAGCTCATGAGAAAGCACACCCAGGGAAGGAGGCAACACACTGGAATCTATTTCCTGGAAGAACGGATCTTTCTGCCCTGGGAACAAAGGCAGGGAACATGGATCATTTCTGGAGAGTCGCTTGTTAATTGGGGGCTCCTCAAGTATTTGGGTCCAAAGGAGAGTTTGAAGTCACCCCCACTCCTGGCCGCATCTCCAGAACCCAGCACGTCCCGACCCACCTCCCTTTCCAGCTCCCTGCATTTCAGCACCCAGGGTGATACACAAGGGCTGCAAGCCTGGCAGCTTAAAGCGCACCCAAAGCCTCTTGTACGGTGCTGTTCACGTCCCTGCGGACATGACCTGGGCACCTCTTAAGGCCACTAATGGTGAGGTCCTGGCAGGAAGCCCTGGGGCTGCTGACAACCTGGAGATGATCTGTCAGTGTCCCCAAGAGTCAAGAGATGAATCTATGGAGCAAGAATCATTGTGTCCCCCCACCACCCCCCCGAAAACAGTCTGTCAACTGTCCCCACCTCTAATTTCCACCGCCCCAACCCCAAGCCAAGGGACAACTGATACATCAGAAGGGACACAAGGGTGAGTTTTGAGGTCACCCCTGTGACCCGGGCCTAATGATTAAGAGCCCCAGACTTCTGGCACTGAATCTTGATTCCACTCTAGTAGGTTAGACTCGGTTTTCTTGTCTATAAAATGGAGAGAACCGTCTCTCACTAGCAAGGTGTGGGCGAGGTTCTTTCAGTTATCAGAGCTTTTTAACAAGGTACCCCAACACTTAGTGGTTTAAAACAATGGCGACACCTGTTTTGGCCAGGTTCAGTGGGGACAGCCTGACTCTGCTCCATTTGGCATCAGCTGGTGTAGCTTGAAGGCTAGTGCCCAGAACCATCCAAAAGCTCATCCGTTCACATATCCGAGACCTGGGCTCGGGCTGTCAGCCAGAATGACTACATACAGCCTCTTCATGTGGCCAGGGCTTCCTCACAGCATGGTGGCTGCATTGCCAGGGTGAGCATCCTCTAGGATAGTGGCAACATTCCCAGGGCAAGCATCTGCAGAGTCGGGGAGAAGGCATATGACCTTTTGTGACTCACCTCACAAATCATGCAGGGTCATCTCTTACATTCTACATTCTTACATTCTTACATACTCACAGACAGTCACAGAGTCCCACCCAAGTTCAGAGAGAGGAGGAATAGACCTCTTGTCGATGGAGACTGGTGAGGTCTCAGAAGAGCATGT